GCTCCAGTTGTTCATGGAACTGAATCAGTTAACAATGGTGTCATGTATACTTTCTCATATGAAAGACTGCTGTAACATAGCACCTGTTCTATAGACAGTGACTGTAATCTTTTCTTCTGGCAAGTTGCTTGATATCCCAAGGATATGAAATTTCTTACTTTAAAGTTAGAGTGACTGCTAGTCACGTAATTAGCATCTGTGTTCTGAAAATAATGGAACTGTTGTTATTAATGTATTACCATGCTTTTTCAATCTGGAACAGCTCAATAACAATTTTGATGAACAGTTTCAATAACTTAAATTTTGAAATCTAAGCTGTTTTTCCTCATACAATTTAATTTAGCTTCTTTAATTTTAACTTCAACTTGAATTATTTAGGAATTTTACATATCTTAACTTATCATCACGTCCTTCTCCAGTAAAGCTGTCACACTTAAACTAGTCTGTAGCATTGATTGATGTTTGTTTTAAATATAGATTATTTTACTGTATATAACTTACGGAAAGTGTTCATAGTGTTAGACACATTCAAGATCAGAGAAAGTCAGATTTCTGATTGCAAAACATTATCTGGCAAGCCTCCAGCCATTCTTCGGTACTTCGCAAATTATCCTAAGATAAATAAGTGAGATTAAGAATACCACAGGAAAATAAATAAAATACGAGCCACAATAAGATAAGTGGAGAAGCAAAAGGTTTTTATGGATCCAGTTATTTAAATCACCAGAAAATATTGTTCCAAAATGGTGGAATTACTCCTTAGAATGGTGGAAGGCTTTCAGATCAGAAATGGCTTTCTCGCATTAGGGAGAAGTTAAAGAAACCTTGACTAATTTGATTAAAGCAGTGTTAGATAATATAGAATTGGGTAAAGAAGTACCACGGTAATACCGGGGAGTCAGTGGAGACCTTTATTTGGAAAACTATAAAACGTATAAATTATGGAACCCTGAAGCTACAGAAAAAATAATAATAAATTGTGAAATATATAATATTACAATTACACGTTTCCTTACGAGAATACTTGTAATCAAGTAGAGCATTTATCTATGCATTGTTTTAAGAAAGTAAAATATGTAAACAGGTAACAAAGAGACGAAGAACAGTTGTCGAGAAACGAGAGCACGTTAGATTTCGGGATGTATGTATTACGAAACTGACACAAGCTTCCCCCTAGTGGTGACGTAGATATATTAAAGCTTCGAAAGATTCTGCAAATTAGCTAGTCACACGAGATGTAACCTCGTGGTCTAGCCACAAAATGAAAACCCTGTCTTGAACTTAAACGAGTTAGTTCACGAGATGTAGTTAAAACTATTATTGCTGTTTGTTAATCGACATCGTTCTTGATCTTGAAGTTCTTTTAATTCGGAATATTGTATTTTTCTTTGTAATTCGTTTTTTTCTTTTACTGGTTCTTATTTTCCGATGCCTTTGTTTATTGAAATAATTATAAATATTGATATTTATATTGTATTGTTCATTAATGTTAGTGTCAAGTCCTGGCCAGCAGAAGAGTCGTTAGATACTTAAAATATTCGGGGCTCGGGTCAAGGGGCGCGAGAATTTTCAGCGTTTTCTGTTCTGATTTTTCAAGACACCAACTAGGGATTTAGGGCACGAGCTCCATCCGGTGAGACAGTGGTAAGTCTTCATATTACAATGCCAAAATCAGGGGTTCGATTACACTTTGTGAGCACAGCAAATAGCCCGATATGGCTTTGCTATAAAAAAACACACGCCCAATGCCTAGCAACACCTCTGCTAGCCAGGCATATATTTGTTAATTGTCTTTTTGGTAAATGATAAACTTTATATTCCAATTGTTTGAAAGTTTTATTTCGGATTTCTATGGTTGTCAAACTTTAATAGATTCGTTTTTTTTCTTATTCGATGTTAATTATCACGATTGCTTGTTTTAGTCCGTTACATCCTGTTACTTCTCTCTGTTCGTTTGTTAATTTTCCGTATAATTTATTTTCGATGAAACTTCAGCGACACAAGTCGTTTCTTAAATAAAATTAGTTTATTATTTTTCAATTCAACTTTACAATACACTTAATTTCCAGAGCCACTTTAAATTAAACACGCTATAATTCACAACGAACGATTCACGCGCTTTACTTGCGTCACTACTGCGCTTGACTCAATTGTCTGTCTCTATATCTGCCTGTCTGCAATTTAATTCCGATTAATTGTCTGGCGTACTTATATACAAGAAGAGAGGGCGCTTAGCAAATACTGGATTATTCGTGATGTTCCCTGATCTTTCTAGAACTCATTACGTGTTACCAGGGTCACGTGACTTCCGCTGTGTAGCAATCCTTTATGCATAATAAGTACATCTAATCTTCTTTAGTTCTACAACATTTGGTCGCACATCGTAGATAGTTATTAAGGATATACAGTTTAAATGAACCAAAGTTTACACATTTTCTTTTTTATTTAACATACTATTGTACATTTAAGAGATTTTCACTTATTCGTTTAAGGCTCAATACAAAACACTCACAAGTTTAAGTCGTACATTCTACTTCAAAAGTCTCAAGAAACGTTTCTGGATCATCATGTTTAATAAGATTTTAAATAAGATTTAAATTATTTTGGTCTCTGGTAGTACATTATTTTTCGTTAGCTCTACAAGTAAGTCATTTCATTTAATTTTTCCTCCTGCACTCTTAACTTTCTTTCTCCCGCCAAATTATATTTGTTTGCTTTCAAATTATTGTAGCTTCCCTAATATCCTTTAATAATATTCGTGCTTTCCACATATATTTTTCTTTGCATTTCTTGTAATTTTGCTACTGGGGTAATTAACTGTACATTAGATTTAAAGAACGATTTACAAACGAAATCTGTGTAGTGCTCCAACCGATATATTGTTGCGTCAGCAAGGTCACGTGACTAGTGTCATGCCACGTTTCTAGAACTATCTTGTTCCTTCGTGAATGCCCTAGCATTTACTAGATATAGGGTAGTCTGGTATATATAAGAGGGTAGGACAACAATATGTGTGTAGGTAATGAGTAATTGAACTGCAGTCAGAGAGAGGCGTATTGTTGAAGTCGAGCTCGTGAGACGTGAATTATAGTTTGTTACAGCGCGACTGTTGAAGTTGAGTGTATCGTAAAGTTGTATTCGGAAAGAATAAACCAGTTTAATTTAAGAGAGGACTTGTGTCGCT